AATTTATTTCGCTATTCATAAGGACCGCTATCCAAAATGCGTAACAAATGAATAGCGATCTTTTATAAATAGCGGCCCTTGTAAATAGCGACCAAACTATAGCCAATTTATTTCGCTATTCATAAGGACCGCTATCCAAAATGCGTAACAAAATGAATAGCGGTCTTTTATGAATAGCGGTCCTTGTAAATAGCGAGCAAACCATAAACAATTAACTTCGCTATTTGCAAGGACCTCTATGAATAACGCGTGACTAAATAAATAGCGGTCTGGTAAAAATAGCTGTCCTTATAAATAGCGAGCAGACCCTATCTGTACACTGAGCAAGTGAATGTTCGATGCTTGAAAGAAGATTAAACATTACGCACAGAAACTTCGATTTTCATAAGCAGTTTGAAAGCTGTAGCTCATCATTCCGAACCACAGATTAATACAACATCAGCCATGTAAACACATTGATCGACGAAAGTTGATTGCGGGAATCAGTACGTCGCCGGGGACATTTTCCGCGGATTGAAGAATATAAAAGAAAAACAAGATACAGATTACGAAAACAGAGCCTTGACGCACAATAAAGATACTCTTTCATAGTTTGTTCAAATGATCGGGAAATCGCCGCGGCGTCACGCTCTAGACAATTCAAGATGTGTTTAATCAATATTTCGTGCTCGAATTTGAGTATGATTATCGTTTCGAGAGACGAAAAAGGTATTTTGCGTTTCCTTCCAGAAACATTAAAGCTCATGTACCGTTTTGGAAGAACAAAGGGAAACTGGGAAGAAATGTGTTAAATGTAATCTCATGTAGCTCTCCTTGTATCAATAGGGACTTTTAGATTTGCGTGGACTTATACGTGTGACGTCCATTCAAGGCAGTGCATTAAAAGGACGTCGATCGTAGCAATCCACGTTGTCGTTGTGCAAATCTAAAAGTCCCTAGTGATACAGCCAAGCCTCTCTTATTGTTCACCTCTCTATAAAGACTACCTGTGTATAGTGGTCACCTATATTGTCCCCTTGAAGGAAATGCGTGTTGAATAACCTGTTTATTAAGGCCACCTATCTAGTGTAGCCATTATTTTTGTTTTCCTCGAGTGGCCTTAATATACAGGTTTGACTGTATGTATCTATCCATGATTTCCGTAGACTTGTAGTGTAAGTATATGCAAGAAAGAGTACATAAAACTGCTATGCACTACCATTCAACCCCTATGGTTGCTGGTAAAATAACCTCAGTGATTTACTTGAAGACTATGGCCCAAATTCACAAAGCAAGGTTTGAGCTCAGACCAAGGTTTGAGCTCAAACCTCCTTTTGTTTCGCCAAACCTCCTTTTGTTCTTTACAAACCAGGTTTGTAAAAAACGCGTAAAACGCGTCATATGACGTACGAAAACCAAGGTTTGTCGACAAACCTCCTTTGTGAATTCGGGCCAACGTGTCTGTATACACACCATTCTCATAGGTCTCACAATTGTATGGTGTAGGTTGCCGTTGTTAAATTATAGGATGGTTTATTCCTTATTTCCTACTTCTCATTAAACTTCATAACAAACTTCATATCTCTCATCTAAGATAAAAGAAATCGGACGAAAAGCTTTTGAGGACTTTCCACAACTGTACATTGCCTTTAACCTCAACGAGGGGCGTATTAAAAGGGCCCCTCGTCATCTCGCGAAATGAAAATTGAAATGAGAGATGATCATGAGAAAGATAACATCAATAAAATCCTAACAGAAATAATCAGGAAGCAGGAATCTTCCTTCATCACTAGTTCTTCATGAATAATGCTGAGATAACAAGAACACGTACAGGTAATCAAAGAAGTAGAAAGTGATGAAACACAAAAATAAACAAATGTGAAATGAATCCAGCTCAAACGTCTTGATAGCACGATCATTGGAAATTGGAAGTCACAATCCTCCTCACGATATAAAAGAAATAATATGTATTGCTTTACTTGAGACAATAATAACAAGGATAGGAATAATATCAACTTTTCAAATTTGCCGACAGAAAAATTGCCCCCTTTACCGAAACAACTGGAACAATGAAGGGAATGATAACAAACTAAAAATCAAAATGGGTTCGCTTGTAGTAAGTGAAGACAAGTTTAATTGGAAAGGAATCCCGTAAGATGGTACAGATATAATCGATATAATCGAGCATAATATACTTTGATGTTGGTATACCCTCTCTGTTTAAACGGTGTCGCCATTTATACCATACCCATCAGGAAATTTCTAGAGCGGACATACCGAATTTGAGAACAACAGCAAAGGATTTTCTTTTTCGGAATATATCCATTTTTCCTCAGACTTTTTATGTCATCTCTGCTCAATGAATAATTATCAAAAGCTCAGGCTTAGTGTGCGAGATAGAACATTGGAATATGTTATAATTGAAAAAACAGGGTTTGTTCGTGTTGTCTGTAAACATGTTCATGTTGTCAACGGATGTGAGATAGAGCAGTGTCTCCAAAACGAGTTCACAAACTTTCGGTTTTGGGTGACCGTCAAAATCTTCGATTAAGGGTGTCATACAAAAATCACCCCTCGGCAACCAACATTCATTCGAATTGTCAGTAAAAATCTTGCTCTATATGATTTGGAAGTCAATTAACTCTGTGATGATATTAAAGATAACTTTATGTTGATAAAATGAAATTTTCATAATAATATCTATAATGTTCTTTCGGTAACTGTGTTAATTTATTATGGGCGTTCCCAACTCAAGCTATGCTTTCCGGGTTTTCGCCTCCTTCCGTATCTGAATTATTTACTGTATACTCTATGTTGAAATAATTGTTACATGTATATATACATTGTGTTTCATATTGACTGTTGAGAAGGAAATAAATGTTAAAAAATACAAAATACAAAAATACAAAGAGAGAAATCTGTGATTATAAGAAAGCAACTTACTAACCCTTTGTCATCCTGGAAAGTATCACCCCATCAAAATTAATGAGCAAGCGTTTGATGGACGGAGGAAATACTTGAGATGGATTTCCATTAATAACTTTGACACTTAAAATGTTAAGGGCTATCAAATTCCTAATAATCTCGAAGAATACCTCGCAATCAAAGATATTTTCTACATTCCTGATATTTAATGGCCGTTTGAGAATTCGAAGAGTAAAGTTTCCTTGCCTTGTAGGTCAGGTGTAATGAGAAAGTGTCATTGTCTACTTGATGTCGTGGTGTAAGTATTATAAGTCGTGACAAACAACAGGATAAGTGGAACTTAAGGAACTTGAGATTTGTTGGATCATTACAAAAATATGTTCTAATGGCACTTCCTAACGCTGAAGGCTATGGCAAAAAGAGAAAGGAGATCCATTTCTTGCCTCGATTCTTCTGGAGGGGCATGACAATATTATCTCTATAGGTTTATTACTAATCTGATAAGTTGGCGTTTAGTTCACATTTTTCGACGCATGGTTGTTTTTAAAAGTCACCTGTTAGTTGACAATATAGGAATGTCCTTTTAGTGGCAAAGATTTCAACTTCAGTCTTGTCATGAATACGATACAAGTCTACTGGCCATTGGGATACGGTATACGGTATCTCTTCCCGACAAATTTGACCCTTTTCTTTTGATTGTGACGCAATTGTAACAATTGTGATAATGGTCGAGAAACTTTGTATAACCAGGGGGGTGTTTCACAAAGATTCTGAGTTGGACTTAAATATTATGGAGAGCAATTTGTAGCCTTATAATGAAATACATTCAAAAGCAAAATTCAAGTATTTTAGACTTTTCATGAATTCCATCACGAACATGAAATCTCCTAAGATAATAAAAAAATATGATTGATTTGAATCAACATTTTATGCCTTTTAAAATAATTTTTACAAAATATTTTCAATGATGCTAACGGCTTTCCATAATTGTTAAGTCCAACTTAGAGATAAGTTCAGCTTAGGATCTTTGTGAAACACCCCCCTGGTCATTGTACGCTTTGAGTATTTAATGAACAATCACCGTTTCCGAAAGTAGCGATTTGTCAAAATTGTGGAAATACTGTCGATGTAATTGCCAGCGGTGATTGTTTTATCGAGAAAACATTCTAGGCACTAGGCAGTAGCCATCTCAGACTATTGATTGATAATATGTTACGCATTCGAAGACTGATGTAAGTACTATAAACTACCAATGCGCGTGCTTTCCTAGAATATTTTAACGTACAAACTAATGTTGCTCACGGAGACACACATCGCAAAATGTTGTTTGTGTGTTCCCACTGTCGACGATGTTTACCCAATAGCTACCAATTGATATTGACAGCGATAGTGGAAATCAAATCATTATTTGGTATGTAATGGCTGATTGCTGGCTTGTGTTTCATGTTGAATCCACATTATGTGCCAAATCTGATATCAATGTCGATGTATTATTAGATTACTTGAACATGTTGATAAATTAGTATCTTCTATCGTAGGGTACGGCGTAACTCACCAGACAAAAGCTCTATTGTGTATTTTCCAAAACACCTGTGGACTAAATTAGATTCTTATTTGGAAGCGATCGATCAACTAAAAGAATCCCATATAACGTATCACCAATTAGCAATGGCGTCGCGTGGGTTCACTCACTACAAAGGCACTGTAATGAGGGGGAGGGACACATGTCTTACTCGGAAAATGCAAATTTACAAGTCTATGGATTCGGAGGCGGGAGGGGGTAGCATGTGGTCTGCGTGTCCTATTTTCTCGTCCTTTCCCCTCCACCATCCGTTTCCCTCTTGTCTCGATTTGTTTTGTCTATGTTTGTTTTATCATGCGACAATTAAGGCCCCCGTGAAGCCTTTTAAGGCTGAGTATGAAATAAGAGCGCGTGAGAGATGTTAAAGAGGATAGAACCTATCCACTTGAAATGGTCAAACAACTCGATTTAACAAAGAAACTTAGATTCATCCAAAACAATTATATAGACACACACGCTCACAAGCACACGCTCACAAGCACACGCTCTCACTTAAGTTTGTTTCGATACTTACTGGTTGGATCGATTTGTGGAAAGATCGGTGGACAGGGCAAGGTCGCTGATTGGTTGATGTGAGTGAGAGGCCAACAAACTGTCTTGTCCCATTCTGGCGGGCAATAAACACCGTCAGGTACCTCTGAAAGTGACAAAATAATAACAGAGGTAGTTATGGTGATAATGATAACATCAATAATAATATTAATATTAATGACGATAATAATAATCATGATAATAATAACACTAACAATGATAATAATTTGCTCAAACCATCACTGACCTCTAATTTTTCTGTTTCGATCAAAACCAAGCTAAAGCTTATCTGGTATGGGCATCGTATGTCGAGGTGACATGGCTATAATTCATTCTGGATTGTTTATCCTGTAGTAGAATTATTTTTTTTAAAACAGTAAATTGAAGGGAAAAAACTCACACAAACTTGCTTGAAATGATCTTCAATAAAAACCACAATTCTCATTTGCACATAGTGACCTGTGTTAAGCACAGGGTGTCAGCCCTACTTACGTCGATTTCCTTATCTTTCTATGCTTATTACTTAGTCCCTATACATTTCTACCAACATCGTTTGGCACATGTCATTTATTTGTAATCTCGAACATTTAGTGTAAGTTTTGTTGGATTCTGTGAGAACTTATTTTCTAGCATTACCAGAACTCAAGCTTGCATGTATCTTTAATATCAGGTCGGACTTCCCCTTTAAAAGGCATAACTTCGAATGAGTCAATGGTCCCAGATAAGACCCTAGATGTCCTAAATCACATACAAAGTTAATGTTACATGTGACGATCTAGCAAGTAGTATAGAAAACCCTTTGGTTAAGGCAATAACATTTCTAAACCAAATATACGATGTGCCTAATGCATCCTTTAGGGGGCCATTACCGAATGGAACACAGCAATAAAAATGGAGATAGATCGCTATTACATGAAACAGCCTTTTAACATTATGATTATTCCCCTATGGCATTCTAATGCATAACATATAACCCCTACAGCGACATATTAAGTGCAACATAAGTATTCCTCACATAGCCAGGTGAAGTTTACTGTTATCATGTTCCCTCTGTACATTTCGGCATACTTAATGTCGCAAGTTGTATTATTATTTTAGTAGTTTTTATCCAAGATACTATATTGCTATCAAGTATGTTCTATAGTGAGTAGGCGAATAAATTGTATAAATTATAACGTTAGTGGGTAATAATTCTCGTTGGCCCGGAGCAAGTATGTCTACATGCTTCAAGCCCAAACATATTATTCCTTGTCCTCATATCTCATAAAGGTCACGTGTCACTGTAAAATTTAACTCAACGCTGTTAGATCACATCAATGAAGAAAAATCATTTCATCATAAAAAATGATTTTCTAATTTTTGTTATTAAAAACTTATTGTTTTGTAATATTGTTACATAATGATATTTTATTACACAAGTAGCTAAATTTATATGATATAACTAGGTTAACACTTGTCGTTCAGTAAAAGTAGAATAAACTCGTCCACTATAAACAATACAATAATATATTCATGCCGTCATTTAACTCTCATTGATATACATGTAGCTATTTTCAGGGCACCGTTCCCTAAAACAGGATATTGAATTAACGATAATTATAAAGAATGGGAAAACAAAAATCGAAGTATATAAAAAAAACTGTATTGAAATGCTTAGGCTTAAATCCATGTGTTAACGATAAGAGTATCGGCACGTTGTAATAGCATCTTACAAATCCAAAGACTAAAATGCATTGCAATGAATATTAAACTGGCCTGGGAGAATTGTAAGCGACCGTTTTGCCCCCTCCTCCACTATGCCTTTTACCCTTCATAAATAATGTATCCTCGGTGATCGCAGACGAAATAAATACTCACTAACATGAAAAGGGAGAAAAAAAATCTCCTTTGATAGAGTAGTGGATCATTCAACGTGCTCTCGCAATCGTCAATGTGAACGTCGCTTATAACTATCCTCCCGTGATAGTGTGAAAGTGCCCTAATTGGCAAATTTGTGGAGTTTGATGGTATTGTCGATCACAATATGCCAACATCTCCTCGCCAAATTAGAGCCTCATTTTCTCCTCGGATACCCCGAGGGGGATTCTTCACCACCCCCCAATCGCTGGTCGGGGCTTCCAATTGCATTTCTTCATGCAAAACACCCAGCCGAAGCCCGCGACTTTGAAATAAAGGGGCGCCCTACCAAACCTTATACCCGATCTTGGGGGAGCAGCCCACCCCTGAAAAGTCAGAAAGGGCACGCACCCCTGGCCCCATGTGAATCAAATCGTCCCCCTCCCTCAACCTTTGCTAGAGATTGAGATTTTGAACTCCTAAAATGAGAGTCTGACCTAAATTTACATCAGACCATCATCAACTTCCTGATCACCAGATCTTGTTTGCCAACGTTTAGCTCTGCAACCCTCCACTTCGCTAGCACTTATTGGCAAACCGGTTTGGAGGGCATTCATAAAGTAGCCGTGTGAGGTTAATACATGCTCCGCATTAAACTGTGTCTTCCATTAGAGAGGAAAATAGAGGGAACATGAAGATTTGGTGAAGTCAATCAGTAATGTGTTTTATTTTATTCTTTGGTCTAATTTTCACCGTTACAAGCTTAAGCAAAGAGGTAAGGAAACAATAAACTAAAAAGTGCAGAATAATTCTAGATTTATTAGAGTAGAGTCGTAAATGTTCATGAGGTATAAAGGGGAGTTAGATTAATATCAGTTTCCTTTTCGTGTTTCAGAATAAAAACTAAAAGATCTGCAAAAGGTCCTGCCTTAAAAACCCTCATCACATTCTCTCGTCTATCTATATAACATCTATTTCTTTCAAATGCGTCTCATAACGGGAAAAATACTCCTAATGGAGCAAGAAAAAAGACTTACGTAAAAAAAAAACACGTAGATTTTGAAATGGCTGGAATACAAAGAATATTTGCCATTCATAACATGATGGTCTTTAGTATAACCAAGTAAAACCATATGGAAATGTCTCAATTTATATTCGTTGTCCTCCTGGTAAATGACAATTAGAATTTGAACGGATGGTCATATTTGACATTTAAAAAGTAGCCTCAATGCCAGGGGGAAATTTCCAAGGCTAGGGAAGAGAGAAATGGAAATATAATGCTATCCCCTTTAAAGGCATCATTTAACAATGTTTTCAGTTTTATCTGAGATGCATGGCCCTACGTGTTATCGTGTCTGTGATATGGTGCAATATTGAAGCCCTTCAAAATGATCATGAAGTGCTTCAAATAAGTAAAAATCTTTGAGTGACCGGTGTTACCATACTCATGTTTTCCAATAGACTATAATGTTATACAAACCGTTGGGAAAACGGTTTCAAAATTCCAATCATAAATATCTTGATAATCAGAAGGGCGATCGGCTTGTAAACGCCATGGGATTCCTGACTGCCCTAAAATGTTTATGATTATGATTGCAGCATGATCTAAATCCATGATTTTGTTTCAGAATCTGAGGCAAAGATACCCAATCCCTTTAAGCGTGGACGCTACAGTTTAATAGGAGGGGTTAAAGACAAATAACAGGGAGAGAAAGTGGAACGTGTGAGTCCATGCAAGATTAGCTAAGGCAACAATTTGGCGAGAAGGCGGAGGTTAGTGGGTAATGCGTTTCTGGCTGGCTCGTAATTACCTCTGGGTGTTTATACACTCTGATGCAGGAACGAGATACGGAGATGGGACGAGCGAACGAACGAGATGAGGGGTGATGAGAGAGAAATACAGATAGGGAATGAAAGAGAGAAGGGGGATAGGAAAAGGGAGATGAAAGGCGAGATGGAAAAGCAACAAAAGGAGAAGGGAGAGAGAGAGAAAGAGAGAGAGAGAGAGAGAAATAAAGAAAGAGAGAGGGGAGAAATAGAGAGATATAGTGAGAGAAAAAGAAGAGAGAGAGAGAGGGAGAGAGAGAGAGAGAGAGAGAGAGAGGTTCTGGGAAGGTAAGCGCAAATAGAGACAGCGACGAATACATAATGAACGATAACAATGGTAAAGATGCAGAGGACCTCTCCTCGAGAGGGGGAAGTGGACCAAGATAACGGACAAAGAGCAGAGAAGAGAGAGAAAGAAAAGACAGAAAGAAAGAAGACGCTAGAATGAAGGGTAAGATGAAAAGAAAATTGTATATGAAGAACAATATGACACGTCTGCTAGACATCCAGTAGACAAGATAAATATAAATGAAAACAGAACGCATCCATAATAAAGTATGGAAACTATATCATCAATCCTCTAGAATGAATCAGCAACCCCATTTATAATATGTGTATCATTTAACCTTTGACCATACCAAACATTTATATGGGACTGTTGATACATTTCGAAAGGCATTAGCCCTTCTCATGCGGTTTTGACCCCTTTCTTTTTCCCTTCCCACGCGATTCGACAGGGCACTGTGTTAAGATCTACCGTAGATTACGAGGTAAGTAAATGGTGCCAACTCCGCACGCATTACCCCCGATACGTTATAATGGGGGTTGTGTGCATACCGACGTCTAACTGCCCAGCGAATGAGTAGCCCTATGTCAGTGTCCGTTTGATCGGCTTCCCAATCCCAGACATATTGGCTTTATATTGTAGTATTTTAGAGGTTATTGGTGCAATCATCCGCGGTAGTTGTTGCTATTGTCTGTATACAAACTGCCATGATTTTATCCAGGGAATATATGTGACAGTTTCTGTTTTACAGGTACATCAAGTGAAGCACCTCTTATAATTATACTTTCGAATATATTTGAGTAGGCCTAGGTTTCGTGTACTCGATACACACATTCAATTTCTTTTGCAGTGATTTCAAACCCTTCCAGCAAGCTTGCGGAATAAGCTGCATCATCTACCCTTCACTCTCTTGTGAAAAAGGCAACTTTTTGACATAAATTTCAGCATAAATTTGAGACAATAACATAGGTCTTTTATAAGAAACTTGACTTGTATCCATCAGAGTCCAACTCTGGGTTCAATGAACAACAAAATACATCAAATACATAAAAATAAAAAACACTCCACAAATCCCCACATACACATCGCAACAGACATTCGCGTTAAGCTGCAGCAACTGTCCTTGTCGGAACCCGCACTATCGCGTCCTCG